TAAAGAGACACCATGTAGCATCCAAAGAAGAAAGATGCCAGAACATTACCATTAAGCCACAGCCTCATGGAGATACATAGGTTAATAGAAATGGGTTAAATTAACATGTAAGAGCTAGCTAGGAATAAGCCTGAGTGATTGACGAAACAATCGCTGAAATATAGCCTCTGTGTGTTTCTTTGGGATTGAATGGCTGCGGGACAAGGTGAGACATTACACTGGGAAGATGGGCCATGGTAGAGGCCCACCCAGTATGGCTCTGCCTATGATCCTACAGGAGTAATTGGCTGACATGTGTATTTATATCAGCTTCAGACATGACACTAGTAATAGTTCTTTCTGGAAAAGAAAGGTAAAATGATTTCTGTTTCTGATTTGAACATGAGTTCGGATGCTGGAGAACAGTGCTGCTGCTGTTCAAGGCTGGGAGTCAGCATAGTCATTGCTTGCCACTCTGTCTAAACCTTACCAAAATTAGAACAAGCAGTAAAAGAAATGGATTCTATAAGGGCAAATCAATGGGACAGAAGACAGAAGTAAGAAAGTAAGAAAGATGAGACATAATTGCCCCAGTGAACCACTGAGAAGCAGCCTGGTCCACTTTATAGACTCCATGGCTGCCAGCAGGGGGAGGGGACACATATGTGGTGTGGGAGGTCCTTCTGTCTATGTGTTGCTTTGATTGGTCAATGAATAAAAAATTTCTTTGAGCCTATAGCATAGCCGAGCAGGGTGGGGAGGTGCAGAGCTAGGTGGGGAGGACTGGACTGAATGCTGGGAGAAAAAAGGGCCGAGCCAGAGAGCCACCATGGAGCCGCCGGAGATAGACATGCTAAAACTTTGCTGGTAGGCCATGACCTCATGGTGATATGCAGATTAATAGAAATGGGTTAAATTAATATGTAAGAGTTAGCCAATAAGAAGCTAGAGCTAATGGGCCAAGCAGTGATTTAATTAATAGTTTCTGTGTGATTATTTCCAGTCTAAGCTAGCTGGACAGCCAGGAACAAACAAGCAGCCTCCTTCCAACACATATACAGCTAAAATTGGAAATTTCTGAAATCTGTTCAAAATTCAAACCTCTAGATTTCCTCCTCTACTGCATAGGTAGACAAAGACCCCTTTCCCACCTTAGATGAAAGTTAGCATCTTGTACTTTACAAAGTAAAACAAACAGGAAAAAAAAAATCAATGAACTGCAAAACCAAAGCCCCTGGAGTAGGAGACAAGGAGATTCCAGGACAACAGAAAATGGGACGGTAACAGGGATGGTACTAGATACTAAAACTGGTAACTAAGTGAAAGTTCTCACATACGATATCTATCCATTATATTCTCAGGACACACATACGGAGAGTTCTTTCGAGGCAGGAGCTTGGAAGAAAGTTCTTGGGAGAGTTTCACCAGAGAATACATCCCCATGAAGACACTGGTGAGTTCCCAATGATCATGTGACACCCGTTCACCTGACACAGAAGCCTGTGATTCAAGCTCCATGCGCTCAGAGCTCCCCAGGGCCTACTGATCTCTCTTCTTTCGAATCTGAGCAAACCCTGAAGGCCTTTTAGGCAGTTAAAGGACATACCCACCAGAAAGCACAAAGGCCAGCTCAGGGTAAAAGAGAAAATCTGAAGGGAGGCTGTGTTGAGCAAATGCAAAATGGAACAGAATAGAGCTTGTCATTAACGTTCCGAGAGACAAGAAGATGCTGAACTCATACAAGGAATAATTAAAAATGTCATCAGGAACTTCAAAATCCAGTAGAAGGCTTAGAAAATGAAAATGATTGTTTTTTTTTGAGAAATGAGCAAAAGAATGTCAGGATAAAAACTTGAGGGGAATACTAAAAATGAGGAAAGGAATTGGGCTAGGAGTGGTGGCACCCAGCTGATATCCCAGCACTGAAGGTAGAGGCTGGGGGATCACTGCGAGTTTAAGACCAGCCTGGTCTGCATAGGGAATTCCAAGTCAACCAGGACTTTATGCCGAGACCTTACCTTAAAAACAAACAAAAGCAAGGGTGGAGAAAGACATCAAAAGGGCTAGTTTAGAAGATTTCAGCCTCTAACTAGCAAGAATTCTAGTTGGAGAAAAGAGAGGCAAAGGCGTGATGGTGGAAGAAATAAATGCAAGAAAATAAAGTCACACAATTAAGGATGTAAACTTAAATAAGGGGAGGGCTTGGAAGGCTCTGGTTAGATAGGGTTGGGGGAGGAGTAGAGATGTTTCCCATTGCTGCTGCACTGGAGTCTACTCTGTCTTGGTGAGGATCCCAGCTCAGCACAGCGGCTTCCCCTGGGCTGGCTGGGTTGAATCTGTTGCCTCATTTCCACCTCCTAACAGCACTGCAAGTTACACAGCTTGATTTTCTGGCAATGTGATCAGGGCTGGGTTAAATGCTCTTCCCAATGCTCTAAATGGTAGAACTAGGACTTGGGTGATTATTTTTTTTCTAATTGTAAAGTTTATAAAGGTTTATGTCTCCAATAAACCACAGTATCTCGGTGTAGTGAATATTCAAAACAACAGCTTCAGAGTTCTCTGTAAGCAGTCTTTACGCAGCCACTGCATGTCCTTTGAAACAGCAATGCCCAAGTGTCTTAGAAGGGTTCTTTTTTCCTGTGAACTGATTTATTTTATCTTGACGGGCCATAGGTCAGCCTTTCCCAAAGTTTATGCCATGGAATCCTAACTCTATGGCAAAGGTTTCATATGGCTGAAGAATCTAGAGGATGCTTCTTTACCCGTGTTTGCTGAGTTCTTTGCTGCAGCCTTTAAAGTTCTGGTGTCTATTTTACATTTCCACGGAGAGGGCTGAAGAATTCGGTGTCTTCTCACCTTCCCTAACCTGAGCTCTTGAGCTGAGCCTCTCACAGGGGTGGCTGCATCTCTCACACTGGATTATTTCAGTGCTGAGGATACACTTTAACAAATTTAAAAAATGTCCCTTTAGGGGAAGGCCTACCCTTTAGTTTCATCATTCCTAATATTATGTGTACAGCTATGGTTCAGGAAGGGGTACGTGCATGCATATCAAGAGTTGGATGGAAACTATAGTAATAGGGAGAGAATCTGAATCCTTAGTAATATACAAATCAAAAGACAACCCTCCTGGTCTCGGGCAGTTTCAACTTCCATCCTCCAGAATACAAAACACAAAGTGGCTACGGATTGCAAGAGAGCCTCTGTCCAATCGCTGGACCACCTTTGCTTTCATGGAGAGGCAGAAAAGAGAGGACCCCCAGGTAACATGGCAGTTGATGAAAGGAGTCCCAGGAACCCAGAACTGAATGGACTTTGGTCAGTATAGAACGGTACAGGTCTCCTTTTGGGGTGTGTGTGTGTGTGTGTGTGTGTGTGTGTGTGTCAAGTCTTCCTAGAGACCCAGGAATGAAAATCCCACTTAGCTTTCTTTCTCCAGCTGCTCTTGTACATATTTACATCTCCTAACGAGCCTCTCATTAGAAAAACACCATTTTCTTGCAAACACTTGTCCTCCGCTCCTGCGAGAGCCAACGTTTCTGAAGGGCCCTGTTGTCAGGGCTATACAGTAATTGGGAAACTTTTTGCTAATGCTAAGTTTGATTTATGCCTCGTCTAAACAGCAAGAACGGCATCTTAGTTTGAGCCCTGGGTTTTTTACTCAGCTGGCTCAGCAGGGCCCCAAATCTAGCGAGCCCAGAGTAGTTGGAGATCTGATGGGAGCATGGAAAATGAAAACTTTATGGAGGCTTTAATTCTCCAAATAAAACTAAGTGCCTCTTCCACGAATCATTACACAGATCAGAAACCTGACCCTGGCCCATCTGAGCAGCCCAAGAAACAGAGACGCTTTTAAAAGCATCTCGGAGACTGGGTGAAGTGGGGCTAAAATCGAGAGGAGGTGAGCCCTACGGCTGCCCAAACAGTGGAGTGGAGGAAGACAAAAAAGTTCAAGGTGGGATTAAAGTGCAGGAAGACAAAAAACGAGGCACGGCAGGAAGACTGGACATGACGCCACAAATCCCAGGCTGTAGCTTGGCATTATGACCTCGGGCAAATCAACTTAGCCTCCCTTGCAATGGCCAAAGTGAGGATGAAGTTGGCATGGTGGATGTGAAAACGCATTGTAAGCTAGGATTATCTATAGAGGTGAAGGCTTGTTGTGGATGTCCTTGTTGGAGCTCCCTCCAAGATGCTTTGGGGGTGAACTACTGAGGAAGCTTGTCTCAGAAGACCCACGGAAGAGTATTGTGAAGCCAACTCAGAGAGAAGACAACAGTAGTGGAAGCTGGTTTTTTTTTTTTTTCCTTGTGCCGATTTTCAAACTTTTTGTGTGTAGAGAAGGAGAGAGGAAGGGGAGGAAAGGAGAGGGAAGGCTCCATGGAAGGGTTAAAGCAAGATAGTGCTGTAAAGTGATTCCAGATGTACAAATATTAATATCTCTTTTTCCCTGATGAATGAGAAGGTATGACCCAGCTAGGAAACTGCTAAAATTACCGGCGCCACCGAGACCTCAGTCGATGGCCCAGTACAGATTTTATCCTTACCCCGGCAGCTGTAATGCTGATGAAGGGCTCGGACCTGCTGCAGCAGGCTCTCTAGAACTTCGCTCTGTCCCCTGTGTCTGGGCTCTCTGTCGTCATAGTCTTTCCAGTCTATTGAACAAAAGAAACAAACAGAGGGAGATTTTAAAGCAGACGCAGCCTCTGCCCTGCCTTGCCTGAGGTGCCGGGGTTTTGTGTTCACTACCCACAGGCTCCATGGATGAGCACCCAGCACACGCAGAACTGGCAGGCGATGCCGACGGTTTGGGAGCTGCCATTGTTCGGAACCCTATGCAAAACAGTAATTGTGGTTGGCTTCTTGTGTTGGGCAGTTTTTGGGCAAAGAGAAAATAGTCCTCGAGAGCCAAAAGAAATAGGAAATTTGGAAGTCCAATATCTGCTCTCCTAGCCCTCGCTCCCCTTTTCAACATCCCTTCTCCTGATCAGTGCCCCTGTTACCTCTTCACCAGCACCCCAGATTTCAACAGGATTTCACAGTAGGAAAGATGGGGGTATGTGTGTGAATGTGCAGACTAGATGAAATCCACAGTCCCAATGCTTTTATTGTAGGTTTCACACTTTTGGCCAAATTGACATTTCTTTCCAAGGAAAGAGCCCATGTCAGATGCCAAGAAATAGAAATCTCCATTTTGCTCTAATGAATGTCTGCTTTGGTTAGCTGGCACAGCCGCCCCTGCACATACTCCGAGCCACCAACCACCCTGTCTGCTCAGTCTCTAAATATACAGTATTAGCTTACATGGCAAATTTAAATTGCAGTCCCCACTGAGATTTTCTCCCCCTTCTATTTTCATTCCATTTGGCTATAATGATATCAAGAGTAATAACTCATATGGGACTAATGTCAAGATTGCAATTCTGCTGTCTCCAGCTCTAGATTCCCACCCAGCAGGTCAGCCACTTCATTGTCCATCCCCGCTCCTCTTCTCCCTCCTCTAGTTTTTCTTTCTGAGTGTTTCAAAAACAACGACTTCGAGTCCATCTCTGTGAAGGGCTAGTCACTCCACCTCAGAGAGGCCAGCCGGTCTCAAATTCCCTCCCTGAAAGTAGAGTCGTCTTCATTCAGACACTCAAGGATTTCATGGCAGGGAATTCTGAGCATCTTACAGTGGTCCAGGATTGTATACATTTAGGAAGGACACCATGGGGGTCAGCTAAGCCCAGAGATGGTCCATCCAAGGTCCAGGATTGTATACATTTAGGAGGGACACCATGGGGGTCAGCTAAGCCCAGAGAGGGTGCATCTTAGAGCAGGTAGGGTAATGTAAAGTTAGGTCGTGGCGTCCGCTACACTCCAGTGTGAGCGTTGGCTCCTCCTGTCCCCAGCTCACTGCAGGAAAGTCCTTTGTATCAACAGGACCTTCGCTCCCTAATTTGAAAATGAGGACGGTGTCTGTCTCATGAGAGGTTTATGAGAATGAAATGAGAAGGATAGTAGGGACCTGGCCCAATGCCTGGCCCATGACAGGCATTCTGTAAATAAGACTTAGCCATTCAATATGGAAACACTAGTTTTTATCCCATCTGATGGTTATCTAGGAAGAAGAGGGCCTCGTAGATTTTTCAAGCCCTTGTCCTTCCCGTTCTCTCCTATGTATAGTTCATTTTTACCTCGAGGAAGGTGAAGCAGAGACATCCCTTTCCCACTCCAGACCAGCCTCACTCAGCTCGGAGACCCGATCAGCACTGTGCCACGATGGCCTGGTGACCTTGTGTGTTGTGTTCATGCTCGATTCATTATACCGTACATGTTTCTCTCTTTCTTTTGGGCAAGAGAGTTAGATCTTTGTTGGAGTTTGCCTGTCGGGGCTGAGTTGTGGTCAAGTCTGGAGACAGAAGATTGGCACAGGTGCCTTCTGCTCTTTGTGGGCAAGAGCCATGACCGAACTTCTCTCTGCCTCATTTGCCTCCTCTGCAGAGTCAGTTTTTAATCTTTTCCGGGAGGATGAGATTGAAAAGAAAGAGTATGAGCCAAGTAGCTTCCTGGGCACACAGGGAAATACTCAGTATGCTGTTGGTGAGGCATGGAGGAATACAAGCATGCTGGTGTGCAGGAAGGCTGGGACATCTGAAGTTTAGGGAAAGAACTGACAGAGACCTTTAGACTATTTATAGCACTGCTCACATCTGGACACAGAGTAAACATCACCCTTGCAGGCTCGCACGGGTGCTGTTCCTTCAGTTGGGGGGGGGTTGCCTTTCAAGTGCCTATGGCACAAAGAGGATGAGAGGGAGCAATTCTGGGTGGCTGAGCTAGTCCATGGACCCGAGCGTGCTAATGCGTTCTAATGAGTCTTAACGCTGTCATCAGTACAGGCAGGGGGTGGTGGCGTGGGTCTCGGCGTCTCAGCTTAGCCCTAGTATACTGGCGTGGAGCTGGATCTGATGACTTTACGATACATACAAAAATTGCCAATGCTCAATGGCGGCCCGAAGCGAGGGCTGAAGAACGCCAACGTTTTGGAAAGAATGAGTTGTTTTTTTTTTTTCTTTCCTCAGAGATGTTTGGAAAGTTCTGATGGCTACATAAAATAGGAGACTGCAGGGATGCAGGGGAAAATTGAAAATATATTAAGAACTCAGGAACCTGACAGGAGTAAACTTCGCGTGGGAGGAAAAGAGCAGGCCGTGCTACATAATACAGCTCACTGTTCTGGAAATGAGACACTTCGATGGCAACACAATGCAGGGCTTACATTCACCGGCCATATCAGGGTTTTCCTGATCGTAACTCAGACAAGCCTGTCTGGGCGCTTTTCTCTTATTATGTACCATACCATATAACATAAGTCTATAAAAACACATTAAGGCCTTTTGTAAAAATATAAAAAAAAAGTTTTATAGCGTACTGGAACATATTACCAAATTTCCAATTACTCTGTCATGTTAGAGTACATTGTCCTCTAGTAAATATCTGAATACTGATACATGCTACATCACAATGTCATACTTTGTTTATAAATAGAATGAGAGGGTTTTTTATATTGTTCTTTCCAAGTGATATGGCATGTCTGCAGCAACTCCAACCATATGCTAGGCTTTCCACTCATTGCCAGCTACCCTGGCTAATCAAACACACGGTTTTAGAAGGCAATGCTAGTCACAGTGCTAATTACCAATAAATAAAAGACTCCTCTAAGGCCCGAACAACCATTCTCATCACTGGAGAGAGGTCTATGCATAGGCTTGTTAGAGAGGGGTGTGTGACTAGAACAAACAGCGTATAGAGCCCAAACATCTGAGCTTTAGGGGTTAATGTATCATATGCAGATCAGAATTGTGTGGGGTGTACCTTTGGGATCATTTTCCCTCCTGTGCCTCCAGGTTAACCGAGACTAGTCTTTTTTGTGTGTGTTTTCTAATGCTCTTTCTCTAATAATTCATATACCTCTACCTTATCAATAACATTGGTCTCTTAGTGACTTAATCTTGCAATTCCCAGCACAAGTTTCTGATAAACCTCCAGCAATGGAAATATCCAAACAAAACCAATGATGAAAGCCTTAAAAGCAGAGGGAGTTGGGGGCTGTGGAGAGCATTGGCATTGGTGGTCCGAGGCTGTGTAAAACCCTGCGTAACACTGGTTCTACTAGAGGTGGTAGACATGGTTGACTGGCCTTCTGTCTACTTTTCTGCCTGATAAAAGGGCTCTAGTTACCGCAGGAGATATGGACGAGTCTTGGACAATTAATGTTTGAAACATGGTTTAGCTAGGTACCAGTGATGTGGCCTCCAAATAGCCTCCATCTGAATGTCAGTTGAAAGAGTGGACTATGTAAATATGTCTCTATGTTAATGGCTTCCCCATCAGTCAAAGAGATCGAGCCCACTGTGTAAAGTTCTTAGCTTCATGCCGTGAATGGAATGAGTCTGTCTTATAAAGGTTATCTCGGATGGTAATAATGCTACAGACAAGAATGACCATGATGCTGAATCACAAGGCAGCAGGGAAGATTAAGGACTGCGGTGAGGGCCAGGAGAGACCCTGCACAGAAGTCTCCATTTGTCACCCGATTCCTAGTTGTCTTGGGTAAAAGGCTGTTATAACATTTGAAAAATATGAACAGGAAACACACAAACTCATAACCCAGGTATCTACAGTTAAATGTATGTGTACCTGTGTGTGCATGCAGGTGCACATATGTATGTGCGCATGTGGAGGCCAGAGATAAAACTCGGGTGTCTTTCTTAGTTGCTATCCCTCTTGGTTTTAGAGATAGGGTCTCTCACTGAGCCTGGAGTTTTTGAGACAGCCTGAAGCGCCTTCTGTTTCTGTCCTGTCCCCAGCATTGGGATTATAAGTGTGTGCCATCACACCTGGCTTTTTGAATGTGGGTTTGGGGGATCAAACTTAGGTCTTCTTACTTCTGTAGTAAGTACTTTTCTAAGTCAACCATCTCTCCAGCCACTGTTAAATTCTGAGAGTGATCTAGATATATCCTCGTAATTTAGATAAACTAATGGTTAAATGAACAGAATCCCTACATTTGGTATTATTATTATTTTATATAAAACTATATTGTAGGATTTTTTTGTACATTCAGAAACAATGGGTTTTTCAACACATTTTTAGTGATTGATCATGTTTGGTTCTTTAATATGGATGTTGAATATGCCTCACTTCACTATTACACAAATATTGGGTATTTGTTTTCTTTGTTATGAATGATATTTAGCTACTATTAATATATCACAGCAGTGCATAGTTTGTGCATTACTGTTTCTTTGCATCTCTCTCTTCTTAAATTAGCTCCTCTCCCAAGATGTTTGCTGAAGCAAAGGAAAAGTCTATCCATAAGGCACTTGAATAAGAATAATAATTACAAATAACATTTTCCATAAATGATTAAGCAGTTCTTGCTCTCACATGGTAGTGCTCTTAACAATAACATTAATGACTTTTTAAAAAGATGAAAATAGAGCCCGGAGCACTGGGCTTATAAAGAACAGCCTACTCTCTCGCATGTCTGTAGTTGCTGGTTCTGGGTAATTATATTTTCTGGTTAACAGGGAGTTATATCAAACATGCCAGGCATGTATTCTTAATCTTCAAGTGATTGGAAGATGTCTTTGCTGGGTTTCTCGGCCTCCACTACAAAGGTTGGGTGTTGTGATTTTTGGGTGGCGACTGTTAATGAGAAGGCTTTTCTCTGAGCAGAATGTCAGGTAAGCCAAGGTGTTTGATTTCATTCTCATAGGAGATCGGTGGCATGTGTCCAGTGTAGGCCAGGAAAGGAAGACAAGGCCTAAGATGGACTGCATACTCAGGGCTGGCCACTCTCCTGGCATCTGCTCCCTCCCTGAAAAGCCCTGTGCCATGAGGTGATTTAGACCCATTCTACAGATGTTGGATTGAGGCTGAGCGTTTCAGTAACCTTTGAAGGCTGCTACTACTAATGAAAGACACCAGTGTCGGGAAACTGCTGTGACTCCCAATGCCTTCTCCTCTCCCCTCAGCTGCCTTTGTGTGAGCATTTCTGCAGATCATTCTTCTGTTGCCCAACTGCTGCTCTGAGAAGCCGATGAAGGGGAGGGGAGCTGGCAGGGACACCTTAGGGATGGAGTAGTTGAGCATGGTGCCATCCTGGAAGTAGCTACCACCTACTAGAGGGAGCGGCACACGCCGGCGTTGAGGTCTGAGCTGGTCCCCATCCTTTCATGTTGTAAGCTGAGACTTGAACAAAATACTGCTGGCCCTGCAAAGAATTGAAACAGGAAGCTGCATCAGGCATTATAATTCATCATGTTCATATTTGAAGGATTCTTACTTTTTTGATTTAAGAATTAAAATATCATGTTTTTTTTTGTACTGACTCCCCACACCCCTAAATTATATACCACTTCATCTATCTATCTATCTATCTATCTATCTATCTATCTATCTATCTATCTATTATATATGTAAGTATACATGCAAAAATTGATTTTATATATACATATATCAATTTTTTTCATATAATATATTGTGATCACAGTTTCCCTTCCCTAGCTCCTCCCAGATCCTCCTTGCCACCCACTCAGCTTGCTCTTTCTTTTTCTCGCTTTAGAAAACCAACAAACAAGTCAAAATAAAAAATAAAATAAATAAAAATAGAAAAACAAAACAAAAAAATCCCAAGAAACACACAGACACACACACACACACATATGCACACACCCCATAAAACCACAGATTCTCACAACCCACATGGTTCTGCAAGGCTTATTAACAACAGCAGCCTCCCACCATCACTTTTTTTTTCTGTTTATTTTCCTCTCCCTAGAGGCAACAGGCACCAAGATCCTTAGCTGGTCAAATTACTGTAGAAAATTAACAAGCTACAATAAATATCTTTGCAGACCAACGCATGAAGGCAGACCTCATTCTCTTAGTGACTGCATAGTACTTCACTACGAGCAGAAGCCTTCATCCTCTCAACCAGTCCCTCACTGGTGGATTCTGAGATTCTTTCCGTTTTGTGCCACAATAAATAATGCATCTATGAATATCCTTTACGCAGCTGTTCAAGCAAGAAAAAAACCCTCAACTTTCTGATGTGACTTAATTTTAAAGCCACTATTAAAAGAACACCTGTATTCTTTAGCATCTTTTTATGAGATTAAGAACTAAGAAGCTAATTTCTGCTTACTGATAAAACATTCTCTAAAATGTTTTGTTTGGTTTTAATGTTTGCTTTGTGGTTTCTTTTCTTCTGTCTTTTTTTTCCTACTTTTATTTATTTTTTTTCTGGGAAACCAAAGGGGTGTTAGAAAATCATCAGTGTTGGATGAATGATTGCTTGCTGTAGATGTAAAATGGCATTTGCATTAAAAAAAAAAAACCAAAAACCTTTGTGGAGACTTTGCTAGGATTTCAATGATATTGCCTTACCATGTGATGACGTTAACACCTTTTTCTCTAACATTGAAAATTGGGTTTTATGCACCTCAAGGTTATAGGAATAGCCTAGTTCTATAAATTCACTTCCAGGCATTTATATGCTCAGTATAATGTCTGCATCACTCTCATTGGATGGAAAAGTGGAAAAAACATCATCCCTAGAGAAGCTAGTTTAAGATGTCAGAGAACTCCTCTGCGGAGAGTTTTCCATTTTTATCACGATATCACTCTTTCTTTTAAGCAATGGAAATTCCCTGGGGTCCCTCCTGGCCTCCTTCCACCATGCCAGCCATGGTGTTGGAGCCAGCCTTCTGCTGATAGCATCTCTGGGGCCACCCACTCGGGGGGCTTTGTTTGCTCTGGTAATCCACAGTTCTGGTCTCTGGTATAGACATGCGATTAGGACTAAAAGTCAGGATTCTTGGTGGTGACCAAACCACCAAGAATTCTCTTAGAATAAACTGGATGCCGTTGGTTGATGGCAGCTTTTTAATGCTGGGTTTCAGGATTATACGCTGCAGATAACTATTTTAATTGGCTAACCTCTAAGAAAACAACAGAAATATCTCTCTGCTCCTCCCATATGAAAATCGTGTAGGATATTAATTATTTGAATTCTATTTTAAAAGTTTAAGGTTACTCTTAAAAGAGCTTGCTTTAAAATCGTATTTTTTATCTTCTGAATTGCAATTGTTTGAGGAAATTCAGTCCCTCCGTCTGAACAGATTTGCTAGGTGTTTTTATTTTTTTTGCATTTTGGATGTTCATTTGTGGTTCAAAATTAGCAATTAATATTTGGTTTTAGATTGGTTAAACTAATAAACATGGCTAGTTCCAGCTTTTCAGTCACAATTGAAGTTGGTTTATGCTAGCTACATAGAGCTTGTACCTTTGCCATATATAGTTTCTTTTCTGTAGTAGCAGATTTAAGCAGGGTTTTTTTTTTTTTTTCTCCTTTTAATCAGGGGAAAAGGATTTCTCTCAGGAAATTGTGTGACTCCCATTGATGACTGATCTCAATGAGGCGGTAGGGGTGAGGGCTAGATGAGGCTGTTATTTTTACCATCAGACTGGGAGTCAAAATTGGATCCCTCAGAGCCTTTGATCCCCTGCAGATTAGACTATGATCCAGAAGGCAGCGGCTTTCAAGGCTCGCATGAGGCCAGTCTCTTTCTGATCTCTTCGAACATGGCAGCCGACAAAGTGGTTCATGCTGACTGCTTAGCCTTTTGTGAGACTCAGATTATGGATACCAGACATATCACACTTAACAAATGGCAGTTGTTGCCAGAGGACCGGGTGTTGGCTGTCGCGTAGAGAGTAGGCATCTGCTACCAGCATCCCTGTGCGAGAGGCAGGGGATAGCACATCTGTCAAGAGGACCCTTACCGTGGTGAGGCCTGTGATTGTGCACCTCAGGGTCTGCAAGTTGTCCATGATGATCTCCCCAGCCAAAGGGGAAAAGTCTTTAGACATGCTCCATTCCACTATGGGGAGGGAGATAAAACAAAACTCAGTCACGTGACAAGCAACGCTGCAAGAAACCGCTTCCACCCCCACCCTTGGCCCTTCTGGTCCCAACCTCCCATTGTACTATGTGACTCAGATAGCTCACTGTTCTCCTTGGATGTCAAATCACTTTCCAATTCATTTTTTAAAAAAGACGAGCTCTCCTCCGAGAGAAAAATAAATCAATCCTCATATACATACCTTATAAATTTTAAAATCTTGATAGATACAATTTATATGGTAGTATGCATGCATTTTATGATGTTCTTAATGTGAGATCTAATTAATATTAAATATGCATTTGTTAATGACAGGGATGTGTTCTGAGAAATTCATTATTAGGTAATTTTCTTCTAAGAACACTGTGGACTGTACTTATACAAACCTAAGCCAATGTGATGCACTAGGCTACAGGCATTTAGCTTATTTTTTATTGATAAAAAATGTCTACCATGTGTTTGTGGGGTGAATGGTCCTGATTTTTGTCCATGAGACCATTGCTATATGAAGATACCATGTGTCTGTGCACACACACACACACACACTCTGGCACAGTCCTAGATAATAGGTCATTGAATAAAGCAGACCAATGTATGAGTTGCTGAATGCGAGGAGCAAAAGGTCCATTGGGGCACTTACCTCCTAAACCTTACTTGGCCTCATTTTACTGAAAATGACTTTTCAAAGTCCCGGTTACATTTTCATCTCAAATGAAGGCACTCTGCTCATTTTCTCTTTATCATCCATCCGGTGCCCTCTCCTGAAACACCCTCTTCCTGCGGCGTCTCATACACTAACCTCTTCTGCTTTCCTCCCATAGCTGTCTCCCAGCCTTTCTCAGGAGCTTGTGCTAGATCTGGGTCTGTGGCTAACTTGTCTAGTGCTCGTTGTCTCTGTCATCCCAGAGTAGGTGTTCGTCCACACTCAAATCACCCAGATCCCAGCCTCCCATTGTACTATGTGACTGTATGCTTTCAGAGCATCTTCCGCTGGTCCCAACCCCTCATTGTACTATGTGACTGTATGCTTTCAGAGCATCTTTTGCTGATCCCAGCCTCCCTTGTACTATGTGACTGTATCCTTTTACAGCCTCTTCCACTGGGTCCATAGGCCATGGTCAGGAAATGATTGGATATCACACGTGGGAGCATCTTACATAACTGTTTACATGCAGGAGGGACTAAGAGCAAGCTGCACCCCAGCAGGAGCCTTAGGAGCTGAAGTCACATGAACAGCCTCTTGATGACAAGCCAGAGACATGAAGGTCTATCATCCTCTATGATACCTTAATCTTCGGCAGTTGCGTCCAAGTGGCTCTCAGTTTGCCGCCCCGTGGGTCACCCATCTCTAATTTTGGAGCCGCTGTCTCTATCCCTGGCCCCATTTCCTTGTCTCCTGCCAGTCACACTTGCTTCCCTCACTCTCTCAGCATCACCGCCCTACATTTCCTAGAGCTCCCATAATTACAGCAGCCCAGATGTGGGGTGCGCAGCCACCGCTGGCTTCCCCGAGTTTTCCGTAGCCTTCCCTTTTCTGGGTTACGCCTCTCCTAGGTTTCTCCCACCTTTTTGACTGCCTCTGTCTAGGTTCTTCCTGGTTCCTCCTCTTCTCCTTTCCAGCTGAAGCTGTGCTCCTGGGGCAGGATGGCGGCGGGGCTGGTTGGACCTTTTCTTTCACTCCGTGTACTTGCCCCTGGTGCTGGCCTTATCTTTGGTGGCTCTGTGAGTCTTAGAAGTGTGACTCTAGGTCTGGCCTCTCTATTGCGCTTTAACTTCCTCCTGTAACTCTCTCCAGGAGCGCCCTTGCTTGGTCTGAATTCTCCCTAAGCATGTCTTTCTGCCAAGAATGCATTCTCAGTGTCAACAAGTGGCATTTCCATCTACCCAACTACCAAACAACAGTCTCACAGCACCCTTGCCCCATCTTTTTCCTGCTTCCTTACAGCTGATTGACTACTAATTTCAAAATGTCTCCCACTAGATCCCCATTTCCCCTGCCATTATCATAATCCAGGAAATGACCTTGGTAACTACAAGGATCAATATCCAGGACCTTCCTAGTTGGGTTTTCTGCTTGGTTCTTTCTCTTTACAGGTGAGCCCCATACAACAGCTTGAATTACAGGTTAAAGTAGTTATTCATTCTTCTTCCTAAAATCTCTTCATCATGTCCAGTTGATTTGGGAATAAAATGAAATCTTAAAAAGACATCCAAAGACTTACACATCTGGCCCCAGCCAGGACTACTGTCCTTGTCCTTTGCCGTGTGCAGGAAGGGCTTTCTGCTGTAAGCCTCTGTTTAGCAGATCATTCTGTGTACTTTACTCTTTGTGACTCTTTGTCCTCCCAACCTTTGCTTGGTGAAATGCTGATGAGCCAATGAGATTCAGCAAAGTCAACTCTAGAGCCCTTGGACATAGATAACTGCACAACCCTGATTGTGTTCCCAGCATACTTTGTTAACATTAACACTGCATTCTGTTTTATGGTGTGTGGCCTTTTTTTCTTGTTGATTGCGAGAAACCCAAGAAGTAGCCCTTATTATTTCCCTCCCTGGTTCTAAGTATAGATTTTGTAGTTTGTGTACGTATACTGCTCCCAACCCCAAACAGTAATTTCTACAAAATAGTGGTATTTTTCTTTCTTTCTTTTTTTTTTTGGTATTTTTCTTTAATGTAAACCTTTCCCCATCTCCTGCCTTTGAAGCGCTCAGACATATTATACAATATAATTAGAATCAAATGATTAAGATTATATATCAACTCCTAATCCATGCCTTCACTGCCTTACATTACATACCCTGAAGCCCATAAATATCTAATTTATTTGTTTGAGGCAGCATCTCATTTTGTTTCCCAAGCCAGCCTGGAACGTCCTATATAGCCTAGACAGGCCTGGAACTCATGAGGACCTCCTACCTCAACCTTCAAATGGTAGGTGTGAGCCACCATGTCTGGCTCCCATATGTACTTTAAAGAAGACACATAGATTTTGTTTTTCAAAATGTTTATTCTTCTTGTGAGCAACAAGCTCTTAGAGAGGCAGAATCTCTTAAAGTGAAACTGGAGAACTTTGTTTTTAGAGTGGGCTATCACACTGACCTGAAGATAAAAAGCAGCAGGAACAACAAAACAACGAGACACGATTCATAGCAAAAGGGAATAGCAGAGGCTGGAGAGAGGTCTCACTTAGGAACACCGGCTGCCTTTACAGAGGACCTGGGTTTGGTTCCTAGCACCCACATGGCAGTTAATCACTGTGCATAACTCCAGTTCTAGGAGATCTGATGTCTACCAGACATGCATGTGGTGTACATACATATATATATATATAGCTATGTATATGTGTATGTATATATATCTATATAGGCACTCACACATACACATGAAATAAAAATCTTTAAAAGGCAGCAAATACATCAAGAAAGAACATGTAAGGGAACACTCTAGAAACAAAAATACCCTTGCTATAATAATATAATGCTGCAACAATTTAATACAGTTTCTCATGTTGTGATCACCCCTAACTGCTATAGGAGATTCGATCAATTGTGTGAAGATGTCTCGCTGTCTAGAACACCATCTGATTGGTTTAATAAAGAGCGGAACAGACAATAGCTAGGCAGGAGAGGATTGGTGGCACTTCCGGAAAGAGAGAGGAGCTCAAGGGAAGAATCTGAGAGGCAGGAGATTTTCCAGCCAGATATGGAGGAAGCTGGACCTACAGTCCTGAGGAGAGGTAATGAGCCATGTGGCAGAATATAGATTAACATAAACAGGTTAATTTAAGTTTTAAGAGCTATTTGGGAACAAGCCTAATCTAAGGCCAAGCTTTCATAATTAATAAAAAAAAGTCCTGTGTCATTATTTGGGAGCTGGAATGTCTAACTGTACCCAAACATAAAATTATTTTCATTCCTGCTTCATAATTATAACTTTGCCACTGTTATGGATTATAAATATCTGTGTTTTCCAACCGTCTTGGGTGACCCCTGTGAAAAGGTCACTTGCTGCTGGAGAGTCATGACCCACAGGTTGAGAACCACTGGCAGTGACTAGATGGCTCCACCTGCCCCTTTCTTCTCTGTTCCTTGGGGTTTCTCCTGAGTCTCTGGGGGCCAGATCCCAAGCATCACAATCATGCAGTCCCCAGAAGCTGTTTAGGGAATATAGAACCCTGATGCCCCTACGACCTGTAGAGTCATTGGCCAGCACAGCCAATTAATTCCAGGACAGACTTTCTCCTCTCCTCTGACGCAGAGCATGAAAGACAGCAATCCGCGGACCCAGGTCATACTGGCATGTATTATGCATTGGTGTGACAAGGGACCTCCTGAGTCTCATTGTAAAATGGGGCCCACATTGAGACAGACCTGAGTCAACAGCAGACAGAGTCATCTAGAGAGCCATCTTGTCTCCTCAGTCAACAGTAGTGTGTAGAAACTTTAGGATCAACACTTGCAATCCAAGATGCCAAGTACTAGGGGACACGTTTATCTAAATCCTAGTCCATAGGAAGAAGACCCTAGTGTGGAATTCCAAGCTGAAGTTTTCCAGGGAAGGGCTGGGACTCCTGTCTAACAGTTGAAATGGCAGGGGAAGGGTTTGGAATGGTAACAGAGTCTTTGGCATGCGATTAATGAGACTGTGCTCAAAGATACAATGCTTAGCATTTCTGAAGAAACCACTATTTTTTGTCTGAATCAAAAGTATTTATACTCTATTGAAATTCGCCTTACAAAAACATGTTTCAGTAGAACACGAGGCCTGGCTTCTTGACAGACAAAAGCAAACCAAAGGCAGGTTTGTGAGGATGTGGGTGCCGCTCTGGAGTTACCGCTGGATCCTACTTAGTGTCTGTGTAGATTCCGTGACTCACTGGCGCTTCAGAGGTAAAGGGGTCTGGGAAAAAGAATTCATATCAGAGGGAAAAGTACTCCCTTTTGGGATAGCCAGTTGGTTTTGGGCTGCCAACAGTATC